TAATGAGATTTCTTGGCTGCTGAAGTCTAATGATGTAAACAGTGCGGTAGTGGTCACCTATGATATTCGACGATGGTCACGAAACACCAAGAATTGAGTGAAATAAGTGAACTGATGCACCTTAATGTATGAAAGTGAGTATTTTTTACACTCAACTTAACGTCATTTATTTCCTAGAATGTTTACGGACACTTTAGCCTAAAACAATCAAAAATTATGCAAGAAATGAAATCCTAGGTAAATCACATGTACAAGAATGATACAGTAGCAAAAATTGATTTTTATAGATTATATAAGGAATTAGTTTGTGGTATAACAACGTCACTTTCACTAAAATGCTGAGTGAGATACAAGTGTTAAAACTAAGCAATGAGCATGCTTCAGAGATTAAAATAACATTGATCAATAATTTCAAATAAATTGAGCATTGGGTTAAAAGATATTAATGTATAAATATTTTGTGATATCACAATTAGTTTCATTTACGCTGAAGAGGTGACTTACAATAAGTCACGAAACATATATATATATATATATATATATATATATATTGTATTATCCAAAACTGTTTAAGTTATCTTTAGACTTAATATTTAATTCTCTTCCATCATGAATGAATCAGGGAATAATTGTTTTCATTAACTGTTTCTTCCTCAATTCTAAAACTAATTAATCAAACCAGAACTTGATATTTTTTAAAGTTAAATTTTAATTGAGAGAGTTACTGTCCAAACATTGATGAACAGTTTTATATGATTGTAACAGTTTAAATTAAAAATAGATTAAAATATTGAAACCATTCTGAGTGTTTTTTTTAATTTAAAAAAATTGCAAAATCAGTGGTTCATAGGATTAAAAAAATTGTGTAGTTTAGTCAAACCAACGTTTATATATTTTTGATATTTAGACCTTCTAAATTGTCCTACAAAAAAGAATAAAAGGATGGAATCGTTGTAAAAATCAATTTACAGCTTGTGAATTGAATATGATTTTTAGTTTCATAGTCTATTATTATTATGCCACACGTGTTATCAGTAATCATAAAAAGGCAGAGAATACTTTAAACCTCAATACGCAATGGTAATCGAGAACTTCACATCAAGAGAGAACACGGAGTGGAAGCCACGGGTCTTTTATATTAGAAAATTAAAATTCACGGGGGTATGTACAAAAGGTAAAACTAGTTTATAAAATAGTCCTATGAATCATCTTGTAAGTTCCATGTATACAGGGCTTGCTCTTCTTCTTTCAAAGAGTTTATCCTTGCTCGCCCTGTAATAGAAAGAAAACAGAATCTGTTAACAAAATCATACATGGTGATTTTAACTCTCTTACAAATATATACTTGTTATTTTACCCGCCTTTATGATGTATACATTTATTAAAACTACAACCAATATTACATTTATAAATGTAGACTTTATCTTATTGTTAGAATTTTAATAGACTTTGTAATTTTCATCACTTTCAGTTATGAGTAAATAAAATCTATGAAATTACTTTAGTTTTTATTTATGAAAAGTTTGCTGAAAAAAGAAGAGGAACAAACAAACACTTACCCACTGGATTGATCATTGAACTTGAATATTTATTATTAAAAAAATTAATATCCATATTACTTTTGAAAAGAATTGGATTTCAATAATGAAATTTTTACTGGACTTTTTTTATAAAATGATAATGAATAAAGCATTGATCTTGTTACTATGTTCATATACACTAGAAAATGAAATTGATTTCCTTTGGGATATGTAAAGAAACACGAGATTCCATTCTCAAAGGTATCATATTCATTCAGCGTATATGTTCATAACAATTCATTGTGAATTCTATGTTTATATTTCCACTATTTTTAATTAAGTATGATATACATTGACTCATCACTAAATGTTACTGAAATATATGTGTACATCAGTAATCAGTTTTTGTTCTCTCTCTATCTCTTCTCATGTAAATCTCAGTTCCCTATTCTATGTTCAGTTATTATCGTTTCATTTACATATCTTTCGAGATAGTATACAAACTAAAAACCTGTCTCTTGCAAATGATGGTAGCCAAGTACAATTTATTTTGAACTATTTAAGATAGCTCAAGTTATTTGTATTATCTGTATGTTGTTAAAAGTTTTGATAGACAATAACTTAACAATAGAGTTAAAATTTTCAATTTTATTATCCTTGTTAATGTTTTCTAACATTATTGACGAATGAAATACGTTGACATCTTTTTTCATCTAAAGTATTCTGTGAGGTATTACAATTTCCCTATTGAATTATATGATAAGATGAATTTATCGTGAAACTAACTATTTAATGTCAAGTTTGTTAAACTATTGACATATTAAAATGTAATTGTGTATGACTCAGTGAATGCTTTCGTATCCTGATTTACGAAATAAATTTTGCCTTTTCCTTATTCTGCATACACATTGTCATTGTAGTATTTTGATTTTATTGATCAATGGATACGTTTCCGAAATTATACGAAAGACATTTTTATCGTGAACCAGTAAACCACTGAGAACAAAAACCCTCTGAAAAACTTTTGTATTAACTTGAAACACCTTAAAACAAAGAACCCGTCCTTTAAACTTTCCCATCTCACCATGAAAATGATGCTTTCAAAACACAGAACTCAATGTTAATCCTTATTAAGTTCAGTCAATTTTTGATATGTTGCTTTTTATAATTCTACAATGTAAACTGGCCAGCTACTTTTGTAAAACTGATTTGTCCAGTCTTACATGCCAATGCGCCTCAGTATAACTTTAAAACATCTAATTCAACGACATTTGATTTTCAGTAATTTTCTAAGTCATATTAATTTGAAATGAAAGTGGATTTTAACCATATTTTTTACCCTATTCATTCAAATTATGTATTTGTATTTTTATTTAGACTTATACTTAAGAATCTATAATGAATTCATTGACTGTCCAGTATCTTAATTATCTCATTTCAATCTCTTATTTGTTCTTTTTAAATATGTGATATTTGAATGCCTTCGTGCATCAATTTAGTAGTTATTTATGTAATAATAGTCATAATAATAAGTGAATTTGTTTTATTATTTTACTTTCTATAACATCAATCTGAACAAGTAAGTAGTTTTTCAAAAAATATCAAATCCTTTTCTTTAAAACAATTAAACATAAAATTTTCTGAAAAAAGTTTTTTTATCAAACAAAAATTTCTATGAATCAATATCGAAAGTTGCGTATAGGAATTGAATTATTATTATTTCTTAACTACTTACTATTTCTGCTACTAATACGATTAATATTATTAAAAAAATGATAGGTAGGTCGTCGATTCAAATCTGGCGAGGCAGGATCGTGGATGCGCACTGCTGAGGAGTTCCACAAACAGCCATCCAGTGCTTCCAGGTTTTCTATGGTGGTCTAGCTTCAATTGACTCATGGTTTCAACTATTAAAATTACTGTATTATCCTTAAAACCCCTTCTGATAATAAATTGATTTTGTTAGCTTCAATTTTTCTGAGGCAAATATTTTAGTGTCAAACTATACATCCTGATTCATACTCTCCTGTAGCATTTACTTGAAAAAGATAAGTAGGCTAAATCGATCAGTCGAAAATTCATATAATCCATTTCATTATTATTCGAAAGTAAAAGTTTTAAAAATCTGTACAATAAATCACCCAACAAAAAGCTTTACTTTCCGATTTGTGAAGATCATCAAAATTTAAACAAAACACTGAACATTAATTACGAATAATATATTTGTAAAATCTCAGCGAATGAATTTGTAGTAAATCCAACGTTTCGCCTGGCAATCTGGTCCAAACTTTTTCGGCGCTCGAATACTGTGAAACTATTCGCTCTAATACACTAAACAGATTCAAACAAAAGGCAACCGTTTTACATTTTGCTGGTTGCTACCTTGACTACGGTTACATTGAAAAACTTTTTCAGTCACCATACGTCTACTCCAAGAGTATACTAGATAACTTCTGATTCGAACATAGTTGATCTGATTAGTCTCTTCTTTCTCACTTCAGTTATTAGTTTTCCCATCATTAAAAATTGGATGCAAACAAACTATTAAAGCAGAACAAAAAAATTCATTCAATGAATTATTTTCTATACTTTTATCAATAACTCATTGATGATGAAAAAACAAAAAAAAAGGAAAAAAAAGTTGGTAAATGTTTTCTTTTTCCGTTTTTTACTCATCCTCTATTCGTTGTGTATTTTGTAATTCACCCTAAAAATAAACAAACAAGCAAACAACTAGCAACATTGGTCAACTTAGTCCTATACTAATGAATAGCTAGTACACACTACTAATACATACATATGCATGCTTAGATGGAATAAATTTAGTTTGTTAAAATTTATACAGAAAGAGAATATTTGAGGCATACTAACCTTTGTTCTAATTGTTCGCATTTGTCATAAACATTATCTATTTCTTTTGATAAACAAAACTTAAATAAGATTAGAATTATTCAAATAAATTGTACAAAAACAAACAAATGTCAACTGTTCAACAATTCAATCTTTCATTTTTATCAATTGGAGAATAGAATAACCTCTTATTTAGTTTTTGTTTATTTTGAAACATACATCTGAAAAAAACGGCGGGAAAAATATTTCCTCTGAGTTTTAGTTAAAATTCATTGATATGTAGTATTTATGTACCGTCAACTAAACGGTACTTCATTATTATTAATGGAAGATAATAGTATTCAATTAATTGAATATATATGCTTCATTTGTTTGCGCGCTCGCTTGAGCGCGCGTGATTCACTCGTCAACGTTATTGAGATATTTAAATAATTTCGTTACAAATATTTTAGTTTGACTGACTTAAAGTTAATCGTATCACTAGTTTGTTCAATGTGTGTTATTTACTAGCCTGTTTGACTTACATATTCTATATCAGATTTGATCAATAAGCTATTCGTTGATTGTAGTTGAATGAAATTTCCCCATATATTTATATGATTTATTCTAATCCTTTTATCTTTTTATTAGATGACGATCCTCCAAAATTAATTACGGATTTGATAAATCATGAATTTTCAAAATTTGTTATGCGTGGCCGTTCAGTTGAATTGGAATGTCCTCAACCAGGTGTACAAAAGTCAGCAGATACTATAACTCCGATTACAGTATGGGGATTAATGCCACGTTTAGGAGAACAACAACAACCCGTGTAAGATATTGATATGGAATTTAGCTTTGTTTATTTTCTACTACAATTTATAAGTAATAAAATAAGTTTGACAGTCAAGTAACAAATGACAATTTTTGGTATACTGGTTCAGGTAGATCCATTTGCGATGGAAGGATTCCGGTTTATTTTTTAAACCTAAACAGTGAATTTATGACTTTAGTGTTTAGATGTTGGATGATTGAAGGTCGTCAACAGGAAATTCTGGTTCAAGGTTTCATGCTCGCCAAAAAATGTACCTGTAATATTCATTAATGAAATTCCATCAGCACTAAAATTACTAGACAAACATAACATTATTCGCTACTCAGTGATCAGTCAGTTGTAGGTTTAATTTTTATAAAGCCCAGAAAAACATTTTCTCCACCATCCGTAATCATGTTCAGATTAACTTTTGTACGAATTGATGGCATATAATAATGAGAAAAATTAAGATGCTTTTATACAATTTTTACATCAACAAACAGTTTACTTATATGCCAAGGATACTGACGTTATTTATTTGAACAGACATCAAAGTTAACATTTTTCTTCTATTTTATGCTTTAAGGTCTGATGATTTATTCACACGCAGGATAGTTTTTTTATCTAAAGAATGTAATGATACGGAGGAAATGTCTTTATAGATTCTGTATTTCCCTTTAAACAATATAAATGATGACCATTACTGATTACTAGATTTTATGTACCAGTCAGTTCTAATTTAATTTCTTTTACTGTTAAAATATTCGATAATTCTAATCATCAGTGAAAGGCTAACAGAATATTTTTCGTTGTACTTTCGAATTCTATTGTGTTATGATCAGTTTTGAAATGTTGTTTATGAATTAAAAATACCATTGCAAGTTATTTTAGATGTTGCCAAACTCAACGTTTAGTGAAACGTTTCAGCATTTTCATTGCCACGATTGTAAGAGATTTCAGACAAATTTATTTCATTTAATCATAGATTTATTTACTCAACTTTGAATTGCATTTAATACAATAAAAGTTCAATGATTATCTTCAGCTATTTAGATTACATAGAACTACGCATTAATTGTAATTAGAAAGTTAAAAAAAAGCTCAGTCTAGGTTTACCTATTTGAAATGATGCGAGTTAATATATAAATGTATCTGCCTGTTTTATCCCTTGAATATCTGGACTTCTACTACTGTTTAATATGTATTTTTTGGTCCGAAATTGTATTTACATTATCATGTTCATTTTACGACTTTTTTGTACGTTGCTGAATTTTATAGTTTTACATCATTTAGTGACTTTAGGTAAACAACTATTGAAAATTAATAACGACTGTATGGTCACTTTATCTTGGTAAGGAATTTTTTCAGTAATAGAATGAAACAGCTAATCAGTACTTACTGAGTTTCACTCGTTATCCAGCTAAAGTCAGGTCATAATGTAAAGCTTAAAAAATCCTGTGTTTACATACGATTTCTAGTAAAATAAATCTTTATTTTACCTTTCATCTTAGAAGTTTTCTCTCACCGTGATAATGTGTATAATGTGCTAGTTTGAACTGATGCACATCTATCCTAGATCCTGTATTGTTTCTAATAGATTATAAGACCTAGATCTCGTTATTACAGTATGAATAAAACTAAAATAAATCTAATAAGCAAGCATAACTATTTTTAATATTCACAGATGTAAATTTATATATCTGGAATTTTACAAAAAATTGTGCGAAAAAAACAAGCAATATTTGTGTCTTTCAACAAAATGGATTAGTATCAGAATGAAAATTTGTGGACATTGTAGTAATTTTTATACTTGAATTCATGAGTGGACCTAAGCTAGGCCACCTCTGAAAACCTAGAAGCACTGGATGACTGTTTTGTCCCAGCATGGGACTCCTCAGCAATACACATCCACTATCCTGCATGCGAGACAAAAACCCAGAACCTTCGATCTCGTGCGCGAATGCCTAACCGTGACAAAGAAAACGATCAATATTTATGCATTATAACAAAATGAATTGAAATATAAATGATATTTAAATTTTAAGATTGAGTTCCTTTTTTTCAATAAAAAAGAAACTTTTTTCAAAAAAAATCTATTTCTTCACTCTGAATTTCAGTTCGACTTTAAGAGACATTCAATTTGCAGATCAAGATACAAAATTAGTTATCAATAATTTCGACATACATCATGTGAGCTTTTACACATGTGAAATTAGTTGGCCCGGTTCACCAGATCGATATATTTTTCTTTTTCAAGTTGAACTAGCTGGTGAGTTTTTGAAAAAAATAAATTAATAATTTGCTTAATAATACTGTTAATTTTATTCCTTTAATTCCAAAAGTAATGATTCTTAGATGTTCGTTGCCTGTTTAATAAACAAGGGAACGGAAACACGGAAAAACCTCTTAGGTATTTCACTAAATTTTGATAACATACAATAAACATAAAACGTTTCCTTTTAAAATAAATTAAATATTTCAGTGAAAGCTGTGTAGATTGCAAGGATAGTCTAAGTCGAGTACTATCATGTTGATATAAACAGAAAACGTAAAGCTACTTCTGTGCTTTTTGATTCCCCAGTCACTGTCCAAATGATCTGAATATTGAAAAATAGTCTATGAACGTTATTGTGGTAAAACACTTGATGTTAGAAAAACAATGGATTATGAAGCAGCTGAATAGCGTGACTTGTATGGACGTCCGATTGGACTGGTGTATTGACAGGAATAAGTAGTATAATAAAGTGAATCAGATAAACATATCATAAAATCAAAAATGAATATTTTTATGACCATATTTCGTCTATATTATGCATTGGACAGAAGTAATAAACATACAAAGAAATTCATCCCAATGTCTTGGGAATTCGCCAAAACATCAATGTGATCTATTCGACGCATATCAATCTTTTTTACTCATCTAATCTTCATTTGATATATGGATAATAATCAAAATAATTAATTAATGGATGATTTGAATAAAAAGAGCTGAGAATAAACATCCGAGTATGACCCGAAAATTCGCTATTATATATATATATATATATATATATATATATATATATATATATACCGAATAAAAAATAAATTGTTTACATTGAATTCTTGGGTTACTATAATACTGGAAAAAGGTTTTGATTACTAGTATATATCAAATAAAAAACTATTGAAAACTGAAATCAATTAGATGGATGTTTTGTTTTTATTTGAAAGTGTTCAGTAGTACATACTACTAATAATAATATCAAACACTGGATCTAATTGCAAGGTCTATCGAAAAGGAATATGGAGTCAATTAAAAGCTAAGTTTACAGTTGCCTACTAGTTACAATGAGTATGAATCTTGGCATATTATGAGTTTGTTGAAGTTAAAATTGTAGATTGTAGGATGTTTAGTGAGCGTAGCTCTTATGTTTGAAACTAGATTAAGACAACACTTGCCAGTTTTCGATTTCTTTCCAGATTATATCTCCTTATGATAATAGTCGAGCTGTAATTTGAGGAACAAATTATTGAAATTTAAACAACATGATTGTGAGTTCAAAATACGCATCACTTACCATGTCGTTCATGTCAATCAGTTATAAGCAACACAGAGCCTAGCCTAAATTTGGAACAGTCCAATTCACCACACCATATTTCAGCACAAAGGAATTATATTATTAAGATAATTGCCAAAAGAATAGTAAAAAAGAATACGTATAGAGATAATTCAAAAGAAATTCTGATATGAACATTCAGATGGTTTTAGTTGTCAAGCTCAAGAACTATTTACTTAGTTAAACAGAAAGCTAAAAACGTTTTATTAAATTTATCATATAAAGTTACCATAAAATTTGTATAAAACTTTAATATAACCACCTAAGTAGATATTGTTTAGTTATTTTTTGAATCAACATCATGTGGCTTGTGTTAAATATTGCATAGTTATTACATATTTCTCAGTGGAATTCAGTGTATTTTACTTTAATTACTCACATGATACGGTATTTAACAATAATAATAATAATGTTTAATTTGGTGCAATTTTTATTGTAATTCAATAATAGTCAACTATAAATTGAAAGAAAATACATTGAAGTCTAATTATATGGAGAACTTACGTTTTCACTAAACCTATTATGTAACATGCATTCAAGTCATTGTGCATTAATATGCTTATGTAACTCTTCATTGAAAGTTGAATATTCTATGCATCAGTCATAAGATGATTTAGAAATGTTTACATATTCACTGTTGAAAATTCAGCAGTAAAAAAGCCAATTTTATATAGATTTTCATATATATCTGTTATTGGATCTAGGTCTATGGTGAAATAGTAACTATGCACATCTAAGAATATGATATTTAGACAAAATAGCTGATTCTTGCTTATTAGTTTTATATTGGTTATCTAGTCCTGGATGTGAAGCTTCAAATTCAACAGTTGCCACCACACCATGTATTAACAACTAATGATTACCAGTTAGATATTTATCCTTAATGAATATTCATTTAATTTAGAGGAACCTGAATAACTATATATATATATATAAGAAAAAATGCAAAAAAGAACTTGAAACAACATCACTAAATTTAATGTAAATAATCAGAAGGGGGTTTTGTGGAGATTTTAGTAATTTTATACAGTTGAGATCATGAGTTAATTGAAGCTAGACCACCGTGGAAAACTTGAATACCCAAGACGGCCGTTTCGTTCGTTGTGGGACTCCTCAGTAGTGTGCATTCACGATCCCGCCTCGCGACATTCGAACCGAGGACCTATCAGTCTCACGCGCGAACACTTAACCGATAGAACACTGAGCCGGCATCCAACCAGTAGAGTTCAACCAAGTCTGTTGGGAGATATCAACTCACTGATGACATTGGTGAATGGTTGTTCAATTTCGTGGATTAGTTGATGTTAGACACTAACGCCGTTGGATGCCGGCAGGCCCAGTGGTCTATCTGTTAAGTGCTCGCGCGCGAGACCGATAGGTCCTGGGTTCGGATCTTGCAAGGCGGGGTCGTGGATGCACACTGCTGAGGAGTCTCATAATAGAACAAAACAGCCATCAAGTGCTTCCAGGTTTTCCATAGTGGTCTAGCTTCAATTGACTCATGATCTCAACTATATAAAACTAATGTAAATTAACTAATAAGTTTATAGAATAGTCTATTCGAAAAGAAATTACACTTTAACTTTAAAAATTACAATTAATTTCGGCTATAGAATGTATTTTTTCATCAACTAATCAGTTTTACATCTTATGATGATTAATATTAGATTTTAAAGAGAGATTTGATTGTGAAAGGTAGTAATTCTTTTCAATACATTAATAAGTAAACTGAAATTTTTAAAGAAAAAAAGATTTCACATAATTTATTGAAATGACATTAATTGTAGTATAGTCTTAAGTATGAAGACATTAACTGTCCAATGCTTTCTAGTTTTCAGCGACACTCAATCTGAAAATCATTTACGGAAGTTATAAGTTATTCAAAAATTCGTATTTCACTATTATTTATATAAGTAAATTGTATTGATTCAAGAACTTAAATGAAGACAAATAATTTTTGAATATTGACTTGAAATTTTCTTTTCTATAAAAATTATAAATTAGTTTTAATTCAATTTAGATAGCTGAATGTTAGATTGGTTGTTTTGTTTTTTTTACCAATGGCAATTATTTGTATTCTTATTAAGCAGAAATGATAATTATATGGTGAAAGTTTTGTAGAATGAAAAATCGAAAGTTGATTTACATTTTCTAGATAGTTTTTTCTTACAAATTGACATCAACTAGAGAATTATTAGAAGTTATTCAGAAAACAATGGAAAAATTAGTAAACTGTAATATATTTGTCTATGGACACGCTAACACGATTATGTAAGTCAGTTAAATTAAAGTAGTATTATTAGCAGTATATGCTGAATATTTTACGTCTTATAATAGAAGATGATTGATAAAGGCTAATCTTGTGGTTCAAATGAACACTAGATAAGCTTACAATGAGTTGAGTACACCGTCTATACCATTTCACTTCAAAATTATACTAAAACGATTTCTTTTGACTTCAAATCGTGTAATTATAAAACGTTAACTCATGTATATGATTCCATTTGAATTCATTAAACAACTGGGTATAGCTTGTCAAGAGACACTAATTTTCATTCTTAGAATTATAGTTCAGCGTATTGAAATTATCATTTGTAATTTGTGAGAATATTATGCTCTCTTTTTTGTTGTTCGTCTTCTGTAACGTAGTACCTCACCAAATCGTATCAAAACATTCAGAATATTTTCATTCATTGGTGAATAATTATCACTGGTTATAACTAAACAATCATTTAAGTTTATAAAAATCTCAATTCTATAAAAAGTTAGCTGTTACGCAAATAGCTTAGTGGTAACATGTCTACCATTGTGGAACATGGTTCCATTTTGGTTTGAATCTTATCGGGAATATCAAGTTTCTAAGAGTTGAGGATAAGCTTAATCAGAGTGTCAATTAATCCTAAACTCAGGTCTTTCCGTTTGTTGGCTGTGATCTAAAATTTTTAACAACAAACAAGAGAAAATATTGATTTTCTTATATATATTCTAAGCGACTGAATGTTTTAATCCATTTAGGTGGAATTTCTACTAGCCCAGAGAAACTAGGGAACTATGATTAATAAAATGAAGAATTTGCACATTTTCTTAAAAATGACAAATGTTATGCATCAAATAACTGAATTTTATTTGCTTTTTAACATAACAATTCGAAAATGATTTCTTTCGTGAAATTTGCCTGTTCTCATATTCTATTTCACAGTTTATTTATTAGGTTGAACTATTTACAAAAACTTTATTAATAGACAAAAACTCCATTTTACTCTACTAATGCATTTCATGTAACATTAACTATTTGTACCCGAGTGTTCATCACTATCATTAGGCAATAGTTAAACAACTGTAGAACTCCTTTAAGTAAAATTTCATAATGTCAAAATTTAAAATAGAAAAACAACAGTAATGAGTGGAGGAAGATATAAAATAAAACTAAAATCTAAAATAAACGATGTATATCAAGCTGACGAGTCCCACATAGGACGAAACGTGCATTCTAGATTCCACTGCTAACCACCATCCATATTTACTTATACTATGCAATTTCTTTCTAGTATTCCATACTTCCACCTTGATTTTGTATATGAAGAAATAAGTCAGACTCTACCATGATGATAATCATAATAAACGACCTCTAATGCCATTAAATTATAAAACTTGTGTTTCTTCCATTAGGCTTTTGCCTCAATATTTTCATAAGAATAACTATTATTTGTCATTTTCTTATCTTCATAATTAGAAGTGGTTGAAAGTGAAATCATATTTAGTTAAACCTTTCAAGTTTAAATTTTGATCCATTTAATGTTATTGATAACTTTATAATAATTGATTTTATAGTTAAATTGTTACGTAATAAATAATTCACAATGAACAATGTTACTATTCTTAACACAGTTTTAAATTATAAATGAACCGATAATATTGGATTAATTACGTAGCTAAATATATGTAGGTGGTTTTGTTTTTATTGAAAATGTGATAAGTTTCTTTGTTGTTGTTAACTAGTTTGAAAATAAGTTTTTCTTGTTGAACTCCTACATTCAAGTTGAACTCCTCACTTTTGTGGTGTGTGCTACTGATGTCGATAAATATAAGTAGTATGTATCGTTAATCGAAAGTAAAGTGCCTGAAGGCAAATAAAAGAGAACAAAAACAAAGAATGATTAGTGTGGAAACCAAAGAGCAATGAAGTCTAAGACGATTAATTGACATTTTACAAAAGGAACAGTCAAGTTTGAGACAATTGACAATTGCAAATAAAAAAATTACTGTATGATTCTCAAATTTCACTAAAATATTCTGTAATTTCATATCCAAATACATTCGTTTGCCCCTATTTGTGTTCTCATTCACTACAATTTTAGTATTCTCTAACAAAGAAACCAGTGAAAACAAATATAGAGGATCCATATTTTTAAATGTGAATTATCATTTAAACTCGACTCAATTTAATGGGATAAATAAGAATATGAAAGATATAAAACAAAACTGTCATCTTCTCTTCCTATGTTATTCTCATGCAATTCTATCTAGTTGCAAAAATTACGTAATAAAATATTTCTAATTCATCTTATATTTTATATTTATTAGCTCTTTACTATCCAAAACGATCGGATTTTTCGCCTCGTCTAAAAAAGAATCAACCATTTATTGTTCGAATCAATGAAGATGCAAATTTACGTTATTATTCTGATGAATCACCGTCCAACTCATTTGTTACCGATCAAATCTCAAATCCAACACCAAAAATTATGTAAGCAAGTGTTGTTTTTAAAAAAAAGACGAACGTTTACCTAGCTACATATATACTGTCTTGATTAGAACAGTGTGTTATTTACATTTGTAGCAAAGAAAACAGTACAATACATCAAATCATTGATTGTTATCATCCAACTTAAATGTCAATGGATAAACACATAATCAACTTCACTTAATATTGTTTGATTATATTCACAAATACCAATTGTTTCAGTAGTTTTTATATATTCTGAGTCCAAATGTTGTCTGACTGTTCTCTTATCATCTTGATTGAAACATGCTCTTTATGTTCTAGTAACCAATTCAGTAGATAAATGAAATCTCTGATTATTATTTGAGTGACCTGTTAAGATCAATTTTACATTATTATATTAGATGTCTGAACCTCGTGAAAAATCTCAAACATTGTTACGTCATAAAGTAAACTTATAGTACAGATATCTTCGTAAACACAGTTCACTTTTTTTCACAGTTTTGTTAATCAGTATGTTTATCTTATTCTAAGTTCATATTTTAGATGGTTAAAATAGATCAGTGTATAATATTTATATTAATAGTAATATTACTAGAATCTTTATTCAAGAGCATGTATTCAGTTGCAGTAAAGAATCAACAACAACAAAATTATGTAAGTGCTTAACCTGCGGTTATTTAGAAATTTGTATAAAACCTTTTCCATCAGTGATAAGTTACCACTTACATTCATTCTTAAATGTCTCTAATCAAATAAGTACTTATGACTTCTCTTTTTGTCGCTTAATATACTTATTTTATGGATTCTTTCGTAGTTTTTACTAGTTTATTCGAAGAGAACAGGAGGAAACTATTAAAACAGTTCTGTTAGTTCTCGAATTTTTCAGTAATTAGATCCTTGATAGGTTGTGAACATTTTACACAAGCGCGTATGTAAATGCCGCTAATAGACACAAACAGTTGATGAAAACGAATCCGAAATATAACTTTACAGAAATAAATTCACATTTGCAAAAGTCATGATCCAGAAATTAAAACAGTTCCGCATAATTAAAGTCACTCAATGTGATTTTCAACACACTGATTTCTACTGTTTATATCATAAACTAAAACTCAAAGCCTATGCAGAATTTCGGTGTATAAATCTAATTTGAAACCAAGTTTTACCAACTTAAAAATAAATATTCTTAAGTCCCAAGGTTTTTGGTATATTCAAAGTTGATTTTTCTAAGAACAAATGTTATTTAGGAAAATCATTGGAAATCGTAATGCTTTAGATAATTTTTTCATTCTAAATTGGATATTTCTGAGCTGTATGAACTCACAATCTTAAGACTATTTTACACATTATTCTGCACAATATCATTGAATCATCCGATTGACATTTCGTGGTTAACATTCAGAACGTTAGTCGATTTGTGGTGTAACATGATTCTCATTCAATATCATTAGTAAAAGTGCCTATCTCACTTTTAAATTGGTCATCTCAAGATCATGATATGTTAACAAGATCCCATAAACGTAGTTTTCAATAATATCATAATCTTGGTTTGTTACTTCCATTACAAAATACTTACGAAATGTAAAGATATAAAATGTAAAGCGGAATAATCTATTATTTACTTATATAGGATAGATTATAGTAATATATAACCAGCTGTCCAGTTTATGTTCATGATAAATTATAACATAACATCTATCTCTTGTTTCCAAATCTTTAATGTCAACATATTATCTAACTGGTTCATACATTTATTCATTTAGCCAAATAGTTTTTCGACTGTTCACATTTATTTATTTTGACTAAGAAAATAATAATAATCAGGAAAATAAACTGTACATGATTGTATCAAATGAATAGATTATTATATATGTTAAGATACACCTTTATCATATTTCTATGATGGCTGTGATTATTATTATATTATTATTAATATGTAATTCAGTGCAGTGTTTCAATTGTCAAGAATGTTTGTTTAAAACAAACAAACAACAGCAACAACAACAAAGCAATGGCTAATACAATATTTTCTTGATCAAGTATTATTGTAACAATTAATTACTGTATTTCGGCAGTTTAGTTGAGTTACTCAGACATGTATACTTATGTACATAGATATATATATATATATATATATATATGTGCAAAACATTTTGTGTATTTCTCAATTCATTAAACTATTTATTTATCTATCATGTATAACAGAAATAATTAACTTCTTTCTTTATAATAATTAATTAATTCTTTCACTTTCATTGAGTTGTTACATTTCAACTCGTAATTTATAAAATTTTTTCTTTTCTAAACTGTTTACAATAAAAACAATGTAGTACTTATTCGATATTCATAAGGAATAAATAAAGTGTGCATTTGCACGCAAACACGCACGCACACACACATATATACATACACTCATTGACATACAAATAATGACCGAATTTTCATTGGTTAATGAATTACCCTCTAGACTGATAATTAATAATCCAGATCATTGAAAAATAGTATCATAATTTCAATGTTTCAAGTTATGTATCATTGTGATATTTGTTACATAAATGTAACAACATTATGTCTATCTGATTTTTTTTGTTTGAAAAATGATATACGATTTATGTTAATAATAAATATTACAGTTGTAGTTGTAATAAAGATGATAACATAAAGTCTTATTCATTAATCATGCATATATAATTTATGCTGTATACTTGTTCACTTAATTTGTAAGTCCTTAAGTTTAAATAGTAACTTTAAATAGTAACTTTAGTAATTTTGTAGAGTTGAAATCATAAGTCAATTGAAACTAGACCACCATGAAAAATCTGGAAGCACTGGATGGCCGTTTCCTTCTATTGTGAGACTCCTGGGTTCGAATCTCGCGAGGTGAAGAGTCTCACAATGGGTCGACACGGTTGTCTAGTGCTTTCAGGTTTTCCAAGGTGGTCTAGCTTCGATTGACTCATGATTCCAATTATTTGAAACACTTATTTATTAATCTATGTTACTTATTGTCAGTAAATGAAAACTTCTCACAAACTCAGAGCATTTTGTGAAATTGTCAAAAGAACAGTAGACATGTTCACAGTGCATATTTTATTATGTTAATTAGTCAAATTTTATTAATGGAAATTTATTATTTTGCAATAAATCACTTCATAAGAGCATCAGTAATCCATCCACATCAAAAAAATATTGAAATCAACAAAAGTTATTGTGGTTGAAATGAACCGTAACTGTAATAGCCTACGTGCATGTAAAAATAGACATTTTTTTTCTATAAATCATTATATCTATTTCTGTAACGGTTATAAGTGACTTACCTATTTTTATTACTTATAGATGGCATAAAAAAGATGAGCATCAATCAATTCCTACTTGGCCTCCACCTTCATCATCTTCAATAGTGGATGAATCAAAATTAAATGGTCCAAGGCCTAGGATTTATGCTTTACGTGGACGACATTTAGTAATTCATTCCGTTACTGAATTAGATTCTGGATCATATGAAATGATTTTAACTAATACTGCTGGTCGTGCTTCTATTGTGTTTGATATTTTAGTCAATTGTAAGTTAATTATTCAAAGTTACATTATTCTTTATTTAATGATTAAATATTGTATATATATATATATATATATATATATATATATATATATATATATATATATAGTATGGTAAGGAGATTAAATATAGCAGACTTTTCATCATCATGTATAAATACATACAACTTAATATTATTCTTTGTTTAAAGAAAATTTAGCTCTGACAAATTTTCATTTTGATATGTTTGATTTTCATAGTTGTAAGCGTGATTCAATTAAAGCTAGACCAACATGGAAAGTCTGGAAGTACTGGATGGCCGTTTCGCTCTATTGTGGGACTCCTCAGGAGTGCGCATCTACGATCCTGCCTCGCGAGACTCGAACCCAGGACCTACCAGCCTCACGCTTTCAACTATGAAAATACTAACTCTCCACAAAACCCCTTCTGATAATATTTGATTTTCTCTATTGAGAAGTTTCAATATTTCCCAGGTTCGAATATCGCGAGGCGGGATCGTGGGTGCACACTGCTGAGGAGTCCCACAATAGGACGAAACGGCCATTTAGTGCTTCCAGGTTTTCCACGGTGGTCTAGTTTCAATTGACTCATGATTTCCACTACATATAAAAAGATATTTCGTTTTTTGTTTATTTCATCTTAAAAAATTGAAGTAAAAGAAAAAGAAGGGAGAAAAACAGCATAAATTATTTTGATATGTTTTAAAATGTGAATTCTGTAGGTTGAATATATACTTTGATCTTGTTAACTAAATGAATTATGTATTCTTTGACTTTTTTTCATTTATTCTATCTTTCACTGTTAAGTGTTTCCAATTTTTTCGGCATTTACAATATTAGTTGTCATATTGCCCATAAATTACTAAAAATAGAATAAATACTTAGAAATGAATAAAAAGATTTTCATAAATTTTAAATAACAGTTAAATGATCAAATTATAAACAACTATGTTACTTAGTTCTGTTATAGTGAATGGAACACAGGTGGGGACAATTGAATGTATTTAAGCACAAATTACAGACTATCTTACTAAATTCTGATAACCATACTACGAACAGTTAATTTGCGAAATAACAACCAATTGTCTCAATCTTCACTGTTCCTTCTGTAAATATTTGTTCATCTTCTCTAATTTCGTTGTTTGTGCACTTTCCTACCAATTGTGCTTCACTTCAGTTCTTTCGTTTTCGGTCTTATGCCAAAATACATTCTATGTCTAACCATTGCCATATACTACTTGTATGATTATAAGTATACCACACTACACTATCGGTTAGTAGTTGTTTAATCGGTATTAATTATAATTGAACATTGTTAGTCACAAACTTGCGGTTCTAGTAGTTTATTGATAAAATAGAAATTGTGACAGTGAGTAAATGATATCCACTTGAATCTTATACAAAATTTCATTTCGCTTAAAATTATATATATACACTATGCTAATAAGTGCAAACCAACATGGAATCTGTTATGTTTTTGACCTAGGCTGTAGGCAACTGTTATGACTTGATCAAGGTCGTCGCTGATTCGTTATGACCTTACGAATTTAACAAGGACGTAATTCGCGTAAATTATCCACCAATAGAATACGCCTTCCACGACCTTCACACTGTGACAATGACGTTCGATTAGTATTAGTAATCTAGCGTCCTTATTGGCCCTTATCCGCCTAACCCGTCCACTTGAGTCCAAAACAACAATAGCAGCTGCTGTAATGCGAATCGTTTATTTCAAACATACTTTGTCTATATACCAAACAGGCAGACCACACCATAAAATAGAAAATAATATTTGTACAAAATCAAGTCAAATGAGGCTAGAAGCGTGGGAGACAGTACTCAATAAACCGAGTATAATTTAGGAACAATAAATCATATAATAATAATCAATAAGTCAAAATGAAGCTAGTAATAAGATGAATATAGACATAGATAATCCAGTTACTGAATAGTTATACCATAGGAATATAAATAGATTAAAAGTCTAATAAGAGGTCCCGTAAGTTATCAGTACTTACTTTTTTCCTAGTATATAACAAAATCTAATTGCAGCGTATTCAACTAGTTGTCACATGCCATCTGACCTTATTGTTGTATTTTTTATATCAGCCATCTTTCTATCTTAGATAAATTTATTCCTATTTAAAATGTTAATAGACGTTCATTGACCCCATGTTAATGATAGAGGGAATAAGTTATCATCCATCTTATAGATAAAATTTATCATTTCTAAATGAGTACCAATAAATACCGATACTTTTCAGAATTCTAGATTAAACGACATTATTATTAGTTAAGTTGACCAAGTTAGTTAAGAAGTTTTAAATAACAAATTGAAATCTGAAATTAAGGACAATTCAATAATATTGACTAAACAGTTCAACAGTTGTACTATATAACTAAACATCTTTTATAGAATTTTTTTCACTAAACACTCTTTGTATTGTGACATAATCTACAAGGTAAAATACATGTTGCAAATAAAAGAAATCGAATAGATCGTCAGTGCTGATAAATATTTGGTGTTAAACTAATATGATTATGTATCTTAGTTGAGTGATCTGATTCAGTTTTTTTTCCATGTAGCTTACGAATTGTGATCAATAGAGAAAATAGGAATAGTGAGAATACTTACAGGTTAATTCATCTTGATTATACGATCTTGAAGAAATATTTTGAAATTCTAATAATTCTGTATCAGAGTTTATGGTTGTGTTACTAGAACATACAGATGCAATTTCCAGAGTAGTTGCAGCACTTTCTTAAGGTGTGTAAATGAATCACTCTTTATACGAATTCATGAATGAGGAACATGAATTTCATCATCTTCGTCAACTGCTTATTATAAAAAATTTCATTCCTTAAAATCATTCTAATACAACCCATGATCCTGTACAGTCAGTTGTTTTTTTTATATTATAGATTTCCTTCAAGATTATTCTAAATTGTTAAACAAATGAACAATTTTAAACCTTTTTTAAACAGACATACTTTTATACACTTTCATCTGTTTAGATTGTTTTTCTATACAAAGATTGTGTTGATCATTAAAAATTACAATTCATTAAATAAGAACGTAATTTAACGCCTAAAAGTGTCGGAAAACAAAATAACATTAAGGGTATAATTCTGTTATAATTTTTTTTAATGACTAACAAGAAAGAAAGTAGAAAGTGTTAATATTTAAACCTGTTATCCTAACCCGATAATGTTAATTATTCAAAAGGTAATCACCTGTTTATATGATTATGGCTAAGTAAACTTGACAATTTTTAATTGTATTTCATATTTTGTATCACCGACTGGTCCTGGTTAAGTAATCCTTGAAAACTAGATAGCACTGTATAGCTATTTCGTCCTAGTAAAGAACTCAGCAATGAGTGTCGACGACTCCGCATCTGTAGACCGAAACTTGAACCTTTGGTCTTGCACGAGAACCCTTAATCTCTAGATCAACGATCCAGTAGTGTTTATGTCTAGCTTCAATCAACTTATGATATTTCTCGACTATCTCTTGTATTCGTTGAATTAATGCCTCATACGCGACGTGGTTGTTTGCTCACAATTCAACCGACTACCGTTTTTGTTTCATTCTTCATTTAGTAAATATTACTATCTACCGTAGACACATATTTGCACTATTTTTATCACTGTGTTTGGTAATTCTACTGAAAATTCATTCAATCACATTCCACTTGTCAGTTTAGTATTGCCAAGAGATCGTACTTAAGAGTAATTCATCTAAAAGTGTAAGTATTCCCTTTGAAAAATGTTTATGTTGTAACTTCATCCTTTAAATACTTTCTAACAAATCCCCTAATCTACTGTATTAATATTCATAAATCTAATTATGAATTTGATCAATTATATTTAGGAAACTTTTTAAAAATCTTGATTTTAGTCCCACCTGAATTTTATCAACCATTAACTCATGAAGAGCATGCTTTAGATGAAGACAGTTCCATTACATTAGATTGCGGTATTAAAAAGCGTTCAATTCCAGGAAGTATTGTCTATTGGGAAAAAGATCAACGCGTTTTAGAAAAATACCCTAATAGTGTAAGTTTATAATTATTTAACTTTACAATGTATATTTACAGGCAGTTTTACAATATAGTTAGTAGATATACCTCATAACACGCAGATATTTAACATTTTCTATTATTATAACTTGTTTGTGTAGTTATCCGATGGTGAATGATACCATCTTACTACCTTGAGTAGATGGGGTAAGGAGGTTTAAACCTACAACGTAAAGGCTTAAAGTCAAATTTTTTAGCCACTTAGTTATCACTCGGTTTCATTACTTAAAATGTAGTGTTGTTGATTTAAGTGAATAACTAACTGGTCAGTTTACTTTTATAAACCAATTAATTCTTCTTTAAAGTTAACGAATAAATAAATTTGTTTAAAGCTTATGGTTTTAGAGAATAACGGTGAAACTTTACGATTTCCTGAATTGAAACCCGAAGATCAAGGTCAGTACCAATGTTTCGTTCAAACTGATGGGTATAAAGAAAGATGGTCTGGTCGTGAGCAAACCTTAATTGTTAAAGGTGAGTAAGATATCATCAACCATTTGATTTTGAACGAAGTAACTAGGTTTTATGTTTGAAAGCATGTAAGTCATAGATCTCTTTGAGTTATTCAAAATATTATACTTTGATGGACATCGTTTTTTGTAAGCAGTACGTACATTTAAAATGCTTGAAAATCAGTATTTTGAAAACATTTAGTCATTATATAAGAAGGATTTTATTTTTATATACAATGTTTTGTTGTTCCTGAGTAACGTAACATTTCAGGTCCTAACATGATGTCTGCATAAATTTGCTTTTCATATAAGAATGCTTTTTAAAACAATTTTACTCAAATTTAACCTAATTTTGATAAAAACCATTTACTTGAGAAAGGTTAGGTACAATTTATATTAAAGCGGCAACTCAAGGTTTAAAACACTCAACTTGTATTCACTAAACTATGGGTTCAAACCCTTCTCCATGTACTTTGGTTTGAACAACCGAGAAGTATCGCTAGGACACAATACACACTTAACCATTACATTTTTGCTTTAAAACGTCAAAATACTTCTTTTTAAAAAGTGTTTCTCGATTGCCTAATAAGTCTCTCTAGCCTTACCGACCTTCAGTTACTTAATGTACCTAATGACTGATAATATTTTGTCATTGACAATAGATTAATTCCAAATTAGTTTAACAAATTTAGCAAGTGAAAAACTATAATAGTCAGAATACTACATATAAACTTGACAAAAACCATGTCATTTGAACTTACAAGAATCATGACTTCTCTACTAATGTGATGCAATGATACATGGTGCTATGAAAACGTAGTTCCTGTGCTCACCGTTAGAGAAGAATAAAGTTCGCTAAAGTGAAATCATAAACACGCTCTGTATTATGTCTAGCATATAGAATCCACCGCTTTCTAGATGATGTACCTGGGAAACATTGTTTACGAGGACACATGGGTTCACTAACCACTAACTATGATTATTGTGTAAATCCTCAACATTTTTTAAATAATAAGCATGAAGGACTATGTTTATTGAAAAACTATTAAAAAGATTGTTTCTCACATGTTTTAACATTAAAATTTATAAATTCCATTACCCTAAATTTACGAAAATAATATCATTAACTCAAGTTAGTTAATGTGATAAACGAAAATAGACGAAAACTTGTATTCATTGTGTAGTGTATGCTACCTATTTTGACAGATATAAGTAGCGTGTAGCACCAGTCGGAAGTACTATGCCTGGCAGAAGAAGATTGCAATACTGTTAACAGGAATGAGATCTGAGAGAAATAGCAACAGAACTGGAGGAATAATTGAGTGTGTAAAAGACAACACAAAGAATATGTGCAGTTAGTGTGTGTTTAATGTGTGACTTTAATATTTTACTAGCACGCTGTGTGATTTCGCGTTGAAAAACAAATTGGTTATCCCCACCAAGTCTTCATTCACTTTAGATATTCTTCTACCGATAATAAAGAACTACGTCCAGACTTTGTGGAAACTGACTAATAACTAATATCCTATATGCTAATCGCCTTGACACACCAATCCAAATATGTAAGTACAAAACTTATCTAAAAATACAAACTCTTAGAATGTGATAGTAAACGTTCTCGAGAAACAATCGATCAAATGTACTTTATTCTTGTTTCATAAAGCATAAGACGCTATTGTATGAATGATAGTTAACCAGTCATTTATCTAGGTTTTTTTTCTTTTTACTCTAACTGTAGCTAAACTGCAATTTCTACGTGAATTTCGTGAACATTTTCTTGAAATTAATATGCAAGGACGAATACCATGTAAAGCTAGAGGTTATGGTACAGTAACTGTTGAATGGTTTCGTAAAGGTGATCCACATTCTAATGGTTTGCAAAGCATTCGTCCACCTAATCAAGTAGAAGGTGGTACTTTAATTATCCAGTATGTTCAAAAACATGATGCCGGTGATTATGTATGTGTAGCGAAGTCAACATATAAAAATGCTCAAATTAATATGACTGTCAGTGTTATTGTTGGAGGTAAGTTTAATTACTCATCGTCGTAGTTATATATATGTTTACTGAATATAATTTCTACTCCTCATTTTCATCAGAATTTTCATAGCAATGACTGGGTATTTATTAGCTCAGCCACGGCTATTATTTAAAATTGATTGATAACCATACCATATAGTTAAATTTGATTTATTGATTACCTAAAACATAAATTTCGAACGACGATGTCGATATACGAGCGTTTAGTTTATTTGCCGCCCATTTTCAGGTTAATAATAATTGAATAATATATATATATATATATATATATATATATATATTAAACGAAAGCAAATCATTATAGTTCCGTTACTTAACATTTTATCCAATACGTGTTATTTTGTTCCAAAAATAATGCCACTTCTTGTCTTGGAAGCCATTCAATGAAGATAAAGAAATCTTCAATAAATTTTTCAGTGGAATGACTTTTTCAAAAATATTGATTTTTACTCTTATTTGTTTAAATACTTTTTCCTTCTGATCAAAAGTGCCTGTTTAATGCTACATATCAGTACTTTCTTTAGACTTCAAAAAATATTTCTCTTCGAAATATTTATACCTGTCTTACTTAAGTGCATCTTGGTAATCTGGCCAATAATATTCTGATGTTGGAAGTTCTTTGGAAGTTCTTAAAAGTCATGCGGTTCATTCGACTGACTTATTTACTCTTTATTGTCTTCGCATTATCACGATATGATTGATTACAAGCTGAATAAAGATAGGACGTCTAGTTCAGACTAACTAAAGTTAATAAACAATTAAGTACAATGTGAGTGGTGATTTGTTTATTTATCCCCATGATTGACCATTTTAATACCTTAGTTAGTATACTTATTGAATAGATAATATATTGTACAATAGCAAGTTATTATTAAGATAAATCAAACTATTCTAATAGATGATATTGGCGATTTATTTGAAAAGCTATAAATCTGTTACTATTCAGTATATTAATTATTTACCTATAAAGAAATAATTCATATCAATAGAAAGGCGGGGGGGGAATGGGAAAGATTTTCATGCATAAGTCAAATCCATTATTTACAATCACTTTATTTCATACATTATTGTACATTTTGTCCTATAGTCAAGTTGACATTCACAACCTTTTTTTGCAAACAATGCATATATCATATTATTTCAATTTATCATTTTGGTATATTCCTCTCATTTGTTGTATATATATATATGTATATATATAAGATTTGTCGGTCTTTTATATTCTGTTAGAGTTTAAGTATGAATTCCATTTAAGATTAATGATGTAAATTGTAATTAGAAAAGTGACTGACGAAGATAATACTACTAGATAATTTTATAAGATAAATAAATGATCGTCTGGTTTATCCATATTTTGAGCTTACTAATTTATTCACACATACTTTATCACTTTCTAACTTGATTGTTCGTTTCTCAGCTTTCGTTTTTTTTTCATCCTCTACAAACTATTTTTCATTCGTTTTCATATTGTATATGTATAGATAATTATTTGATGGATTGTCTTTTTTTCTTCTTCAATGTTTATCAGTAATCGTAACATTTCCGAAGTCTCATATTACACTATTCATCTTTTATTATTCCCTGTTGTAAGCATTAATTTTCTTGTTCTCTACTTTTAAAAAAAAAAATATTTTTTTAAGTTTTTTCTTAATGTTCCTATCTGTCGCTATCACACACACACACACACATTCTTGATAGCTTAGCATTTCCACATTTACACCATTGTGATATTTTCAAAAGACTTCAAGAGAGATAGTATGTATATGCGTGTGAAAAATCAATAAACTTATATACATTTTCTGTATGAAGAGTTTTTCGTTTATTTCTTATCCGTGAATGTCGAATTTTCATACTTTTTTCAATATAATCTTTTTGTTTCCGCTTTACACAGTTGATTTATGAACATTTGGCTACTCGTTTGGTTAATTTTTTTTTGTATTTTGCTTTCTTATTTTGACCAGTTGAGTTGATATAAATAATTACATAGATACATAGATACATATCTTATTTGATACCTGAAATTTTCTGTAAGTACTTACTACTTTCTTTATAGAAGAAGTCATACCAAAAAAGATTATTACTACCACCATCTTTAACCGATTTCAGTCATCATCTAGTCATTCAAAATGCTGCTTCTTATATATATATATATATATATATATATATATATATATAATTCGCTTAGTTTCGGCTTTCGTTTACATCTAAGATCCTTAACAGACTTCCACAGTCATAAATCATCGTCATTTTCACTTTCGTAACAAAATAAACAACAAAAAATTAGGCAGTGTAATAACAATAGAGACAGCTAGTATATATATATATATATGCCTGTATGTATATATTGTTGTATTATCTTGCACACATATTGTGTATTAGTATGTTGATGTTCTTTTTTGTGTTTATATGTTCGTTGCATCTGGGTGTATTTGGACATAGACTTTTGTGTAAGTACTTATATGTCTTATACTTATATGTTTTCACAGTGGACTAATTTTTTTCTCAGTCTATGGTTAAATATGTATTTATAAAATGTTACTTTGATTGTTCCATATAATATCTATTTACAGTTAATGTATTAGTGTTGAATATATCCCGAAAATGACGAAAACGTTTCTAGAATTGAAAGTCCATAGGTATAATTCTAATCGTATGATAAAATATAATGAAGAAGAAATATGGTTTATTAAATATCTCTTGTTTTATTCTTCTCACAACTCAACAGTTGGCTGCATATATTCCCTTACTTCCCCCACACAACTTTTGCTTGTTTTTCTACTGAAAGTTAAAATACACTTAACACCTAGTGTCATCTCCTTAGCTACTGAGTCAAGATAACCAATCGATGTATAACCAACTTCAATTTTAGCTGCAATTACTGTAATCCACCAAAAGGTATATGAAACCCTTAAAAGATTCCAGGTGTAACATTTCTTCGAAATCGATTTATGCTAGAAAACCATTGAAAACCTAGGAGCACTGGATGGCTGTATTGTTTCAGTTTAGAACTCTTCAGCATTTCGCATCCACGACTCCCCGTAATGGCTTAGTTTTGTTAATCAGTCACCTTGATAACTGTTATTGTATGAACTCCAATGGCGTTTGAATTCGGAAGGCAAAAACATGCGGCGACTACAGTTTATTAGCGGATAACACGGATAATTAAGTTAGAAGCGCATCGACCGAACTGGAGCAGAGAGGCTAATGTGTGTGTGTGCTACCGAGTACAGAGGAAAATTGAGTCGAGGCTCAGCTAGGCAAGGCTAAGGCTGGTAATAGGATTCGAGCACATAAACACATGGGAAACAGAATGATTCATCGAGAGATATTTGACCGATTAACATTTAAGCTAGAGAGATATATGTGCGTAGGTTGTCACATGTGATCAAAAGTACACATTTATACGGACATGATAGTGATCATAATAATACAAAGAAACAGACAAATCGTTAGTCTGAGTAACATTTTTTGTTGAATGAGTCAATAAAAAGGGTTGACAAAAACTAACCGTAATTGAAGTTAATAGTAGAGGTGTTGTTCAATCCTGTTCCGGATTTTCAATAGCTATCTAGCGTAGATCGAAACATGTTTTCAGTAAAATTTAACAGTTTAAGCAACCCATACTGCCAGTAATATTTCTGAGGTATTGAGAAAGAGCGTAAAACGTTTTTAGGTTACTCAATTTATTTATAGTTTCAGACAGGTTATTAGTGATAATTTTGGGATAGCATTAAATGTATACCTCGTGTTCCCTCACATTTACACTCAACCACGTCAATATATGCTGATCGGTGGCCTATGCTCCATTGAGAGTAACAGGCGTAAGTAATTAAGTACGTCAATATAATTACTGACAAACGATCTTAACCGCAAGTTAATGTTATTTAAACAACTATTTGAAATCAGACATCACTAAAAGTGTTTTTTTTATCACCTCCTCTTAAAACTGATTTCACATTCAGTCATTACTTGAATCAACCAACTAACGTAATGCGCAAATTCACGATCACTATTCTTTCTTGTATATGATTTTCTAAACATCATGATTGTTAAGCAACATTGATTTAATGGAATAAAAAAGATTGTCACAAACTGATTAATTTTTTTTCCTTTTAATAAAATCAACTGTTTGTTGTTTTTATTTCAATTATTATTCTAATTGCAACACTATAAGAGTCAGTCACAACGTAGATCTTCGTATATCAGTTCGAGTTGCCATACCACTATAACATTTACTGCTTTACTACCACATCTACCTCTCACCTTCTCTTCCTCTCGAATTAAATTATCTTCGATCCAATTCTTCATTTTCATCTTAGTTTGTAGATTTTTATTTGTTTATTTGTTTTTATGCCTACAACTATGTTTATGTACACAGACGCACATTCATCATTACTTAACCGATTGAGATCGATGTGTCAACATGAATTATTATTACTATTATTACGGCTGGTGGTATTTTGTTATTCTTTTATATTTTTGCTTCTTTAGGAATTAGCTATTTTGACCTGGTTGTGTCTGTTTATTTTAAGTCTAGAAAAAGAAACAATTGCAGCTCATAACTATGATAATGACGATCACAGCTATTATTATTATTAATGCTAGTACTAATAACGTTAACAATATGGTTAAGATTTTGCTTCACCCCATTGTTTTGATGGTACCTATATTTCCAAAAAGCTATAAATTTGAAAATATTTTTTACCTGAAACTGGGGTAAGGGATTTGATTTATACCCTTACGGGTGTTTGTATATATATATATATATATATATATATATATATTGTTGTGTATATTTGGTCAGTGTTCATATGTGTTATGTTTTGTCTTGTTTATACATATGCACATATAACTTTTATGTAAATATTACCACAATTAATTATGTTTAAATAAACTTGACAGGTAGTTGTTTAGTGTGTTGTAGTTTCCATTTTTGTTGTGTTTTTTTTGTGAAACCTAAAGAACAACAATATACCGAAAGAACCTAAGAAACTAAGTCGGTAACTTATCAAGTAAATACACAATGTTATTTTATTAAAACAATATTTATTTTTAAAAAATGTTTGACAGTTGTTCAAGAAAATTCTCATTCTCAATAAGTTCATCATTTATGACTAATATCACCAGCACCAAAGGCAACATCAATTTTATCATCATTAATTAAGATCTTTGGAATGTTATTCTTTATTATTTTGTTTCTTCAAGTTTTTCACTAAATATTGTAACACTTAGAGTTTGTTTAATTCAAATATCATATTCATTTTCCTTTTTAATGGTTTCCCTGATTTATTGGCTTATTGGATTCTTCTTCTAGTTAAATGATCATAATTTCTGTGAGAAAAACGTTTTCATCGTATCATTTAAGTCTTGTGAAAATATATACACATTGAATGAGTTTTTTAACTAACGTGAGAAGTCACTTAACTATTCTTCTGTTTTCTAACAACTGTGATTTATTCTGCATAACAAATAACAAAAATATAAACATTGTAAACAAAGATGGATAGTGGTCAGCAGTGGAATCCAGGACGCGTGTTTCGTTCTATTTGGCACTCGTCAGCTGGATGTACCTGCATCTCAGAGTCGATGTTCACTGGGGGACTCTAAAGTTGTTGTGCACATATATATGATTTAAAATAGATAACGCGATGGCGTTTGAAGCGAAAGGTACTGAGTTCGAGTCCCAGAATGAACATCAACTCTGAGATGCAGGTTCATCCAGCTGACAAGTCCCAAATAGGACGAAACGCGCGTCAAAGTGGATTCCACTGCTAGCCATTATCCATCTTGCTTATAATGCTTTGTGAATTAGAGTGATAATGAGGCAAAGCGAACAGTGTGCACATATGCCAATTAGAGACTGACCAATCGCAGTCCTAAACATCAATGGGAAGATTCGAACAAACAATACCAAGGGAATTTAAAAATATAGACATAATATACAAATATCTTTATATTTCGTGTCCATTATACAACTTAATTACTTACTGAAAATCATTCAGAATTAAATTGTTTTCTGTTATAATACAGTTAGGCTTCATCTTAGGTTCACCTCTTGAAATTACTGAAAAATAGAACACGTATTTAAACGTGTACATGCGTTAATACTCATGTATGTTTCATATTCACTATAAATCCAGTTATGATTTACCTGAATGAACAATTTTTATACTATGACAAATTGTTTACTTAAATCATTTTCTATATATCTAATTGTTTTTCTGATTAATACTGTACTGTTATTAAAAAAAACTATTGTTTTTTCAAAAAACGTACTACTAGTGAGTAGTGTAAACATATTTGAGTAAATGTATTTGGAATTTTTATTTAACTTACCAACCTTACCTATCTCAAACATTATTTTAAATGACTATATAGTTTTCCTGAGTATTGGAAATGTTTCTTTAGAAATATAATAAAGTTTTCATTTTATTACTGTGAATCATCAATATGTTGTGTTGTTTTTTCATAGAATTAATTTACATATAAATATATATATACCCACACACACACTGAAAAATTATACTTACCATAAAGTTCATTAATTTTATACTTAAAACTATCAAAAAATTATTTTCAACATAAATTTGCCGTTTATTATTGTTTACTTTGAAAGAAGAAAAAGAAAACATTTCAATTGACTGATCAATAATATTGAAGTGTGTAAATAACCACCAAATAGTCGTGGATTGGTTGAAGTTAGACATGCCGGCTCAGTGGCCTATCAATTAAGTGCCCGCGCACGAGACTAGTCGGTCAGTGCGGCCGTTTAGTGCTCCCAGGCTTTCCATGGTGGTCTAGCTTCAATTGACTTATTATTTGAACTATATATAAAAATATTCAAATAGTTTACAGATAGAATATGTCATATATATATACTAGTTAAACAATAATTAAGTAAATAAATAATAATAACAGTGAGACTATAATTTATGAGCTAACTAATCACATATAAGATAAATGATCTCGTAATTTGGAGCCAAATTCACTTATCTATTTGGTTAAATAGAGTTTTGGTATTTTAGCTGATGCCAGTTCGTGATGCAAACTTTAAATCTAACTCCTATCCCTATTCATCAAATATAAATCATGATCTCAATTCGTCACACTGGTTTATAAACCTCATTTAGTCCTAGTGAGTATGTGAACATCCTCAAGATTACTTTAGCGTCGCTCATAGATCGTCCATAAATTATAGTTTCACAGTAATAGATTTATTTGATACCATAAAAATTTTTGAGTTAGCAGATCTCAGTACTTATTGTACAATATTTCAATATGCTTAATATGCATTCGAATTGTTATTGTTCAGAATGATCTTTTATAATTGTCATTATCAATTATCCATCTGTAATCATGAAAATTTCATACAAATGGAGTTGTTTCAATTATCTTTTTCATTCATCATATATAAGCCGCAACTATTCTAATGCATATGTCCATCGTTTTTTCCATGAATATACAAGGTGGAAAATATTACCAACAACTGTAGTGTTTCCGTTGAAGATTTCCATTGCTTAGCATTCTAATAACTTTTAAATCTGTTATAATAGCTTGTGAATATAAACAGTTGTGAGGCATAATTATTTAGTTCGAATAAATATAAACCAGGATGATTAGTTGTAATTTTTGCTCAGTCGGAATATAAGTTGCACGGAACGTTTAAATAGGCCACAAAGTGTTGAATCCTTCAAAGTACTAAGTTTTTTACCATTCACTTGTGAAAGCTTATACTGTCCATGAGTTCCATACAGTTCACATTAGTTGATCAGTTCGTTATAAAACTTATTTCAATCCAGATAACTCTATATAGTGAACAGTTTTTACCAAATTATTAAGTATGATATTAGTTGGTTACAGACAATCAACATAAAGCCCTGATTTTGTGTTATTTAATATCAGCCGATAAGGTTCATTTGTTCTCCATAGAATTCAAATCCATCCCACCCAGATTTTCAATCAAAAAGCATTACCGAAAATAGCGAGAAAATCAAATTGTCTACTTTTTTAATGTAATAGAATTCTACATAACTGTGTTTAACATCATCCTGAAATTTATTTGTTCTGAAATGACACCTCCGAGAAAACCAATTTTTAAATTTTCTATTTCTCCGAATATGAAATAGGAAACTAGTCCGTTAGAGTTTGCTAAACTGATGTCAGTTTTTTTAATTGGTTCAATAGCATCTCAGTTTGCTTTTGTAATGTCACACATAGATAGTTGTAAATAGTAAAGGTTTTTCTCGTTGTTTCAACAAGTCTTCCGTAACACTTTACTTTTCATTTTTTTATTCTACTTAGAAAAACCCCAAATATCACAAATCAGTGCTAACCAAACAATTCGCGTCGGTAATCAAGTTATACTTAATTGCCATGCATCAGGTGATCCCCATCCTCAAATTAGTTGGATAGTTAAGAAACCCGGTTATAAAATTCCAAGTGTCTATACTCCACTAGTTGATAGTGAATTACTTATTCCCCAATCTACTGATTTATCTGATTCAAGTCGACCAGCTGATAATCATTTACAAGAACAACAATTTTTGCAACCACCACCGTCAAGTTCAAGTTCTTCATCAGTTTCGATTGATCACAATTTAAACAGTGCATCTAGTGCAGATGCTGTTGTAGCTGCAATTTCAAGAAATATGCAAACAAATGGAGGACGCATAACAGCGTTTTCAAATGGTAGTTTAATTATTAAACAAGTGCATTTATCAGATCAAGCTGAGTATATATGCGTTGCTGGCAATAAACATGCTATCAAAACTCGTCAAGGAGTATTTGTCAGAGTCCTCAGTGAGTAATTTTCTTAAATAAATACAGAAAATATTAGTTTACTTTAGACTTTCTCTCTTTTTATTATGAGTAACATTTTTATGAGATGATCGAGAAGATTTGTAGCTCACGTTGATGATTTTCGTGGAGTATAATTCTCTGAGCTAAATGGTTTGATCGTGGAGCTTTCATCATCATATTCAAAACAAATTTATCTCCGATTACATTAGTTTGAAAACTGTCCTCATATGATCTTTTAATTATATTTTGCAGTCGTCATCGTAAAACCGAATTGTTTTACTTTAATCTACTTCACTCTCATTTAACATTCTATTTTCCTTTGAAATTATCTCTATAGTGATATGTTAATTGTCTGTCTACACTGTGACTACACAACATGTATATTTATAATGAAAGTAATAAATAGAATTCTACCTCATAGTTTGAAATCAGTAATCCTGACTAAACATTCTTCTTGATGTGCATTTATCTTGACTAGTAGAAATCGACTACTGTCCTCTGAATCAATTTGCATCACGTTCTACAATTATGAATTAAAATAATGATCTGGAAGAGTAACTTTAATTGAAAGAAATGCGAATTCATTTGGTAAATATATCAGGTTATAAACGAGATTCAATTTGGTATCTGTACCTAATAACTTGCTTTCAACCTTTAGCATTGATCTTTTATTTGTTTCCCCAACATATGCGACCACTAATTTGAAGGGATCTGTGATCAAATACTAGTAATCCACTAGTACCATCTATCTCTGAAGGTTACATTTCATAAGCCTAAAGTAGGATAGGACGAACTGCAGTTCAGTATACTCAAAGATTTCGCCTACACCAGGCGAGCTTTGGAATCCATCTCGAGATTTCATCAAACATTAATTCACCAGGACTTACGGGACTTTCAAAATATCTGAAGTGGTCGACGAGCTCAACTATATCACTCTCTATCATTAGTTTAGGCGTTCACACAGACCACTTTTGAAATAATCTCAAGTGTTGGGAAGTTAGACAAAAAATGAACTATCTCTGAAGAAATCTCTGTAAAGAAGCCAAATAAAAATAAAGAAAGTGATCAGCCTTGATAAACATAACTTGATGTTATCAACTGTGACAAGTTTATCATAAGCTGTAATTTGATTCGAGGAAAGAGCCTTTCAAGGTTTATATACTCTTTCGGTAAGTCTTCCGACAACCGATGTTATGTAAAGATCAATGAAGAATTTGAGCAATAATAGACTTGAGGGTATAATTGAAAAGATTGGTCACCTATAGTACTAAATATTTAGCTCATTTCAACATTATTTACTTAATAATAATGAAATATCATAGAATATATGATTCATCTATAGAGTAATAAATATATTTCGTGTATTACATACCCATTGTCCATTGAAATATGAAGCATATCATAGATTGAAAGATTAAAGCACATGCAATGCTATCTTTATTTCTCCACAACTATTGAAGCATATTTCTGATGAAAAAAAATACTAGTAAATTATTCATTTTTTGTTAGAAAACATTTGTTTACAAGAATGAATTCATGTAATTTAAATATAACTGCACAGATTAATAATGGAACTATATATATATGTATATGGGTGTCTGCTTTTCTAAGAGTCATGCATCTGTATCGTTTTTATTCAGATTAATCTTTACTTCTATTGTTTACTTACTGACATTTTAATATTTGTTTGTTCGTTTCTTTGTTCGTATGTATTCCTAACACTATTCAGCTCCGGAAGAATATACTCGACAACAACTTGGTGAAGAGGGTACAAATACTGGTATGATGAAAACTATTTTTATAGTAGTTGGATGTGCTGTTGCCTATTTAGGCTTAATTATTGGATTAACAACATTCTGTAGTGTTCGTATGGTACGTACTCGACGTAACCGATCACGTAAAAGTGGTAAGTTTATAAGTTGTGAATTAACTCATTAATCATTTCTTTGATGTGGCATTCTATATTTTGTTATTATGATTATTGTTGATGAAAAGGAAGATGATTCACTCCTGTCATTCCATCTACTCACCCATTTATTTACATTTATTACAATGTGTGTTAGCATAATTGGATATTACTACTACTACTACTGCCACTACTCTGTCTTCCACAAACGAGATTCGAATGTTCGTTTTTTCATGTTACTATCACACTAGAGTCAAGGATTTATGTTTTGATCAATTTTTAATGTATTTGGGCTATGTTTGTTTCTTTCTCTGTTGTTGTTATCTTAAGAAGCTGCTTACATACTTTCACTGCACAAGTTATAAATATATATACTTCAATATCATAAGTTTCATACTTTTTCATAAAGAATGAGAAAAATGTCTGATTTGACCTGACGAAAATGGAATCAAAGAAGAAATTCATATTTCTCCCTCCCCCCCCCCTCCTAATTTTTTTTTAATGATTAATGAGATTTCTTAGTTTTCTCAAGAAGACCGAAACATCAAAATAATCGGGTTAGTTATGGGTAATGAAAAGTGCATCAAATAATAAGAATTTGGTAGTGTATATATATACACAGAAAGAAAGCAAATTTAGCATAGTATATATTTACCTCCTAAATGTTTAGACTGTCTTATTTATTCAACAAAAGAAAAACATTCATTCAACTTTTATACATAAATCATTCAACAAATAAAGAAAAAAAAAGTGTTAATCAAAACAGAATCACTTGTCTTAACTGGTAATAAAAAACTAAAGATTTATTATGATACACAATCAGTGTTTGTATAAAGTTTTGTTGTTGTTGTTGTTGTCTTGGTCAATTCTACTCGGCTCTTTTCTTCTTTTCATGTAATAATATAAATAAATGTAACATTAATAATGATTATATTTCATAAGGTGGTGGGTAACGATCATACATAAAACACAATTACCTTGTATATATAATACTCATAATCATAAATGCATCAAGTTTTTCAGTAAAAAAAATAGACCCCCATCTTAGTATGTTGGTATTTAGTAAATTCAATAAATCTTAAACAAGCAATTCAGGTCATAAGAATCATGTCTTTGTTCTATATTTTTTTTAATTATCTTAATGAAGTGTAAACCAACATGAAGGGAGAAACGATAACATGTTCTTCTAATAGGTTGTTTGTTTTCCATATTTAAAAAGTAACAGGTTAAACAAGACAAATAGTTTTGATTTCTCTAAGGAATTAGACAGTGTTAGGATTTTTATTTTATGCATTATAAAGAGCCTGTCTCATGTTTGTTGTATTTAAATTTTAGTTACGATTGTGAATCATTATATAGTAACATAACTGGATTCATTGTTGGTTAGATAAAAAGCAAGATCAATAATTAAGTTCAGTACCTATAGGAATAATTAGAAAAAGAAGAGGTCGGTTTTAAAACTCTTAACTTTTCTAGACATACATATTAGCATACTATAGGAAGTGAAATTCTGGAGATTGTTGAATATTATTGTATACCTCACAAAGTGATTTTAATGAAGCAACTATTGGAAACCAGGTAGCATTAAGGAGTTCCATACTATGATGAAATATTGATGGTTAATCAAATCCATGATTCATCCACCTAGCCCGTCATCTCAAGATCAATCAAGAAACCCAGCCTCGTCCATTGCAAAACATCTAATGATGAGTGGTCATCAAATTTAGCCAAAATCAGCCTTTAGAGTTATGACATGTCATCAAAACCCACACACACTCAAACTACTCGAAGCTATCTTGATTGGTCGGAAAAGTCCAACTTTATGTGTTCAAAAACAACTGTACGTTGACCTTTGTTTACCATGGTTCTAGTGAGTGAATGTCATGCTAAATAAGAAATTTTGACCTTATCTTCAAAACTGTATTTACACGAATAACATGTTGCTTGTATGTGACTGACGAGAAAGCACGAAATGGTGCTATCTCACAAAATTTGTCTTCTCATTTCTCTGTTCAGATGAAATATTTGTCTAATGCCTTTTAGTTTTCAAAGGTTATTTACCAAAGGTTAGTCCATTATGTAGACTATAAAAAATAGATTTGAAAACGTAAGAAATTAACCTAATTATTTAACTTTCAATTAATAAAGTTTGTCTTATCGAATTCACTAACATATGACGAAGTGACACCGAATCCTTTAGTACTCATATACAATGTTGATATGATTGACTTTCCCTCATCCTACTCGGAACACCTTTTTCCTCTATCTAAATACTCTATTTAACAGAAGCATTCGTTTATTGACTGTTATTTTCATCAGCAATTTATGTCTGATTTTTAAAGTTGTTTTGAATTTAACATGTCTTAAAATGACATTATATATTTAAAGAATCGTATACACTCTCATATATTTGTTCGCTTTAAGATTGTTACAGTTCATTAAGAAAAGTCAGTAAAATCTGATTTTCGTCCTTTTATAATTAGGTGGCAAGTTACATGAAAATGGTCAATTGCTCAATCCTTTGAATGACCCTAGTAATCCGAATGGTGGCAAAAGAGGATCACAAGGAAGCGGCGGGGGTGGTGCTGGGACTGGTAATATGGAATGTGGTTTATTATTAGGAGGCGGTTGTACGTCGGGAATAAATACAACTGTAAATGCATCTCTTAGCCAACTACCTCATTATGGTCGCCCAGTGTTGACTAGTGCATCTGGCACACGAAGTGGAACAAGTTATCCTGATAGTGGTACCTTACCACATCCTCTAATGTGCACGGAACCTGGGTCAAATCAAAGGCCAAATATTTCGGTAAATGATACGAATTGCTGGTGGCCTATAACTGACAATGCATATTATGGACAAAATGATGCTCAGGCTAAACTACTTCAGTCAGCCGGTGCTGGTGGACCAATAGATGGATTCGCTAATCCTTTGACAGATATTGGAGATCTTAACGGTCACCCATATGTACATGGACATTCTATGATTAGTCCGTCATGTAATCTTATGTTTTCAGCGCATAAAGGCACTAGTACGGGTGTGGCTAGTAGTACAATCGCTACAACTACATCTGAATCACATCTTGTCTCTGCACCGCCACCAACTCCGCTTGATTCACGATCACATTTTAGTGGAGTATCTTCTGGTAATTCAACTAGCTTGTACTCTCGTTCCCTTTTAAGTGGTGCTTCCAATTTCGGATCACCTCCCAATCAAATGGCTTCAAATGTGAATAGCATGAATCAATATGATCAGTCAAATGCATTGCACTCTATTAGTCAAACAGACCGTATGAATTATCCACGTTGTGAACTACAAATGGAAGGAATTCTAGGTTTGTTTATGATAATATTTGTTCATTATTAATTACAATATAAAGAAATTTGTTGAAATGTTTTCTATTTCATAATGATCTTAAATCAATTTGATTTTCACTAGTATTTTAAAGACAAAAAAGCAGTTCTCCTTTCTCGTGAACTGTAAATCGTGCATATTATTAAATTATTTTAATTTAATCCAACTCTTAAATGAAAAAAACATGTTTATATATTTTGGGCCGAATTTGATGTGTGAGGGTTATTGACATTATTCGACTTCCTGAACCGGTGTAAGCCAAGTAAGATATGAACGTGGAACCTAAAAAGTGATATTTGGGATTGAAACATCAAGCTTCTGTTGCATTGGCCAACGAATGTTCATTACGTTATCTCTTCAGTAATATATAGTTAATTCAAGAAATTCTCAGTTTCAGACTCATCTTTTCACATAATGTAGTCAAAGATGCAAACAGGTGTACTACCGAACACTCATCACATTCCAGAAAATTTAGCAATGGACAATTTAAAACATGAGTTTTGTTTGCAAAAGACAACTCCTTAGTTCCATAGTTTTTTCTTATTTATTCTGTTCGCGTTCATATTTCATTACATTCGCTGAATGGCTGGAGGATTCCAAGTGAGGTCTTGCCTTGTGAAGCAGTTATGTGCTTTCTTCAATGTGTGTCTAGTCCATATTGTCACCAACTCATCTTTATTATAACCGTATGATAGCCGGTCGCTGTTCGGTATGATAATTATGTGTTTCTCATGCTTCATATATTTCCTTTAATAGCTATTTGTTTACTGAAAATTATGAAGTCAAATTCCACAGTACAAGTAATCAAATCCTAGAAAACCTACAATTACTTATTGACATATGATATCATATATATACGACTGTACAACTTTGAAAATAAAATATATCTAAATATATATACTGATTGATTCTTGGATTGCTCTACGCAATCACCAATGTCTACAGTCGAAGTGACCTGTATTTTACGGATTCAGAAACAAAGTTTATTTTTACATTAAGGTATAGCTGTGTTTATTAGTTCGATAAATTAGTTGAATCATTGAACTAAAACACATTTATTGCACAACATCTTGCTTGCTGTATAAAATGAGAGCCCTAGTTTTTTTTAGTGTCAAGTTCATGATTCCTCACTGCTGTAAAGTTACAAACTAGTAGGAATCAGGTATTTATTCATGCCACATTATAAATAAATCTCGAGCTAATATCACCCCATTTTTAAAACTAGAAATAGGTACTATTTTTCTAAATACTTTGGTCAAATTTGATGTATAATACTGGATGTATGAAATTTTCCGTTTCATTCCTAATGCATTAGAATAATCAGTAAATAAATTTTTTTATATAATATCCCACTTAACAAACATAATATATTCAACACTATCTCCCTAATATTCATCAGGAATAAAATAATAGCCATAAGTTCACAATTGTAATGAAGTTTTAACTTGTTTTCAGAATATTTGAAATATCTTCATCTGTTTCACATGTTTGTTAGAAAAAAATATCAAACATATATCATATATAGTGAAATGGTTTTGTTGTTTCACAGGAAAAGGTGAATTCGGTGATGTATTCTTGGCTCGTGCTCGTCATATACAAGAAGGTGAAGCCCAATCCTTAGTATTAGTCAAATCATTGACTTCATGTGATTCAGTACATATTAATGAATTTCATCGTCAATTAGAATTGTTTGGTCAGTCTGATCATGATTACGTTACACGTTTATTGGGGGTATGCATGGAACAAGAACCATTCTATATTTTGTTAGAATATTGCGAATGGGTAAGTAAAGATTCGTTACCGTGTTATTCGTCTAAATCATTGGGTATATTTCAACTAAGTTTGAATAATTTGTAATGATATAGACTAAAAAATAAATGGTTTAACGAAAAAGTGGATTTATTAAGAAAACCGATAAATTGTAACCTCTGAAGATGTTTTTCATCATGAAATGGTACTATTTAAAAAATCAATAAACATTGAGGAAGCCATAGTTTTGAAATCCCCAGTAACTTACACGTAAAATTCCTTAGTTCTTTGCACACACTACATGTCAAGTACTATGTTAAAATGGGATATTAGTCACTACTGAGTGATCTATCAGTGTAAAAATGGCGTTCCTATAAGAGGTCAATCGGATCTTAATTACCTCAATGGTAACGTCTTGTAACACTTAATAAGGCGGGTTGGAACAGCACGAGTAGCTTAAGTTCCCTCAATTCTACAGATACCTTTTACTGATATTTACCAATAAGCATAATAACGTGGTACAGGGCTTTTCACTGATGGGCTCAAACCACGTAACATTAAAACACAGTACATTGAGTGTCCAGTCCTCAAGACTAGTGCCTATGTCACAACTTCATCAATGGACTTCAATCAGTACTAAGGACCAAACAAAAATGATATTGGTTACTACTTTTTAATCAGTCAGTTTTAAGCCATAGAGCAAAAACTATTCACTGGAACTAGGTTTTGTATTAGTTATGCTCATTTTGAAATTAGTTTAAGTATTTAATTATATTAGTACGTTGGCTTTTTAATTAACTATGTGAAATGGATCGTCAGGCGGACAAATAATTTCCCGATCGTACTAACAGTCAAATAATAAAGATAATTCAGACGTTTTTTAGAATTTATTCAGTCTATGTAGTTGCATGAACATTATAATTAAGCTTTAATGTGGTAGAGTCTTGACAATAATTGATGATCATTTGAAAAAATGCCAACAGATAATAAATAAAGTCATAGTTTGCATTGTACAGTTGATTAAAAGCTGTTATTCATGTTATATAACTTAGTGTACATTGAATTTAGAAATAACTGTCCTGTTTTTGCTGCTCAACTTAAATGAAGTATAGTTTTTTTATTGGATCAAATACTGCAAGAACATAGTTCTCAATACTTAGAAAAAAATAGAATCATATTAGCTGTTGTTTCTTTTGAATAAACATTTATCTAAATGATTTTTCACAAATCCATTTTTCATTATTTCTTTGCATTACCTGTCATGTGGGAATTAATCCCAGTTTGTATGACTTTGTATATCATAGTTACTAAAACAATTCTATTATATGTGGTTACTATCGATAAATGAATGAATAAACTGATTCCCGACTATTATCTTATCATTCATAACATTTTATATGTTTCTTTTCGTTCTTTTTAGGGTGATCTAAAACAATTTTTACGTTGTATGCGTGAAGAGAATTCAGGACCATTTAAAATGCCACCTTTAACATGTACACAAAAGATGAGTATATGCAAGCAATTAGCTCTTGGTATGGATTATTTAGCTCATATGCATTGTGTTCATCGTGATTTAGCAGCTAGAAATGTATTATTAACTCAAGGTTTAGAAGTGAAAATATCAAGTCTTGGCTTAGCTAGAGATGTTTATGCAAATGAATATTATCGTTTACCTAATACAGAACAATTTATACCATTAAGATGGTTTGCACCAGAACTTATTCATGAAATAACGACTAATACAACAATGAATACAACGGCACGACATGTATCATTGTGTAATGGACATGAAAATAAATCATTGAAACAATTAGCTAATCCAGCTATACCCTATTCTACACAATCTGATGTTTGGGCATTCGGTATATTAGTTTGTGAAGTCTTCTCATTAGCAGCACTTCCTTTAGCTAGATTATCTGATCAAGAAATTATTGTTGCTGGTCAACGAACAGCTATGCTAATAAATAATACTAGTGGTTTTACTAAATCAAAACTTAACACTACTGATTCATCACCATTGAAACCGGATTTAGTTGCTGATATACCAGGTGAATTAGGTAATCTGTTAAATCGTTGTTGGTCTCCAACACCACAACATCGGCCTACATTCAGTGAAATTGCTATCATTATACGTGATCTTGCTGCATCATAATATAATTTCTTCTTGTACTTTATATTCTTTTTCCTTTCTAATTTTTTTTCTCTCTAATAGTTTCTTTTTTTATTCATTTATCTTAAAATCAATGTTTTATAGAATCATTATAAAAGTAAATTAGACAATGATGATGATGATAGAAAAAAAGTAAAAAAAAACAACTAATTAATCATTTTGTAATTACAAACAATAAAGACAATTTTCTAAACATTTTCAGCATCTTTTTTTATTTGTTTATTTGTTTGTTTACATTCTTTCAAGGTACTTCCTCTTTTCATTTTTGAATATTCAAACAAAAAAATAGGCCAGATTGTTATTTATTTCAAGTCAATAAAATAGTAATTACTAAATTATTCATTATCATAGTTTCATTATGTAACTTGTATCATACTAAAAAAAATTTTTTGAATTTACACTAAACTATACTACTTAAATGAAGCACAATTAAAATAATTTTTTTCATAATTCTATGTATTTAGGTGAATTAAAATAAGTTTGCCTCATTATTATTATTATATATACATTGTCTATGAATCAAAAATTGTTTTCTTCTTCATTTATTCTTATCTCCATTTGATTTGATTATCATTTTCATCATAAATATTAGTAGTATATAAGTAGTTAATTGTAAGAAATAAGTTTCTTTTTCATCATTTTGCTTTTTCCTTTCTTCTGGAAAAATTTTTTTCTTTTCTTCATTTGTTAATAAAAATCATAAAAAAATTTTTCTTGCCTTTTTTCTTTATTTTAATAAGAAAAAAATTTAATATCGATTATTTATTTTATTTTTCTCTATTTTTTTCTTTATTTTTTCCCTTCTTTTCTCTTATCTACTCTCTCTGCATTCAATATTCTCATTTTATTAAATTTTAAAATGATATTAATTTCATAATGTCAATACATAATAATGATAATAATAGTAATAATTATAAATGTATAATAAACTTTGGACTCAGCTAATACTGACTTGTTTTACATTACCTTTATCATTGTTCTTTTGATTCTCTTTTATTTAATTGTATTAACTAACTGAATCATCATACTATACATCTCTATCAAGTGTACATATAAACATTTAACTAATGATGGGCATATATAGGCTGACGTGTATTTTACACTTTTGTTTTTCTGTGTTTAATATATTTATAAGACAATACTACTAATGATCATAATTGCCCTCAATTCGATATTTTTTTTATTTTAGCTCTTTGAATAATTTTTTGTTGTTGATCTATTTACTTGCCAATTTTGTGAGTATAAACAAAATTAATTCATTCATAAGTCATTTGTTTACCCCGGTTAACTTATTTTCAAAGGATACAAATTATTTTCACTTTCAATATGATGCTTGACATCTATATTTAATAGATGTAATTCATTTGTGAATATACTATTATCAACTGGTGTCAATTTGTTTTCTAAAAATTGTACATTTTATGTTATAAAGTTGATGTCAATACTACTACTAATAATATTGATAGTGCATATCATATTGCAGCTCTTTGTTTTTCATTATCAACACTGTATCATCGTCAGAAATATGCATTTTAATTATCTACAAACAGACATGCTTTCCTTCTGTAAACATTATACAATGCATCTCTGTATTTTCTTCATTCTGGCCACGTTTTGTTTTTTGTTTTAGGTAAAGAGTTTAGCTTTATTTGTTATTACGTATAATAGGACGTTTGTGTTGCTTTCTTTTTATACCATATCTTCACTTATCTACTGTATTCTTTATTTCTTCAATATCCTGCTTACCAAAACAATAGAACAGAAAGAAAACACATCACTTTTTATAGGAATAAATTTTTAAATATTTATCATTCGTTAAAGAATCATTCATATTTTCACTTCCTTGTTTCCATCCATTTTCACAGCTTTCCTTATCACCTTATTATTGTACTTCTCATCTCACATTATAAGTAATCTTTGTTATATCATAACAATATTATTCTTCTATGATTTTGTTCACGGTTTCTTTCCATTTTTCTTTTCAAAAAACATAATTATGGACACTGACAAAACATTTACTGCCTATTTAGCATTTTAAATTATCTTTTTTTAATTAAATACTTTTCCTCTTTTCTTTACTCTCCAAATTTTTTGTATATTTCCTTAACACTACTGAAGATTAGTGTATGAATGAATATAAAAAGAGTGATAGGTCTTCTAGAAAAAAGATATTACTTCACCCATGATGATCTCAGTTCACCTTTTTCTTCTCTGTATTTCACCGATTTTTATTTCTAAAAATGAAACCGAGATGAAAACTACAACTCATTATTATTATTATCATACTGTTACTATTAATTTACACACAAAAAATAACATTGCTTTTGTTTACTCATTTATTAAAACAAAACAAAAAATACACTACACTAACTAACATACAAGACGTGAGAGATAGTAAATTACATGTATAATAAAAGAAATTGTTTTATGAAATAACTGTTTCTTTTCGTTAAATATAGAACAAACACAATTATCAGTGTAAAAAAACAAACACAAATAATTCGTGGTTGATAGCGTGAGTCAATTGAAGCTAGATCACCAGGGAAAACCTTGAAGAACAAGACGGCTGTTTTGTCCTATTGTGCACTGCTGAGGAGTCCCACAATAGAACGAAACGGCCGTCCAGTGCTTCCAGGTTTTCCCTGATGGTCTAGCTTCAATTGACTCATGGTTTCAACTGTGAAAATACTAAATCTCTACAAAACCCCTTCTGACAAATAATTCGATCAATGATGATAATAATTATTAAGTAGTAACTGTTTTTTATGAAATTCATTCATAGAAAATAAAAATTGAAGTTTTAGATTTGTATTCCTTTATTTATTTTTCACACGATCACTACCAGAGTTGCTATCCTTATTGTTAAGAAAACTTAATAATAAAATGGAATGATCATATATTGAACATTGATCGGTACTTTTTCACAAATAGTTATTCTACCAAAATGCTGAAATTAAACGAATCTTTGAGAATTTTATTACCATTGTTAGTGATTGTGAATAAAGACAAGTTAAATTATGAGTTTATTTTGAAAATGTGAATAGACCAGAAGCTAACTATAGTTTCTATTAAGGCAGTCAGATACTTAATGATTTTTAAGTATGGACGGGACCATAATTTATGGACAAATCAGTCAAATATAAGATAACAGGTCTTGGATTTTGGAGCAAAATTCATTTATCTATTTGGCTAAATAGAGTTTCGGTATTTTAGCTGATTCCAGTTCGTGATAAAAACTTTAAATCTAATTCCTAACCCTATTCATCAAATGTATATCATAATCTCAATTCCTTACACTCGTTCATAACCCTTATTTAGCCCTAGTGAGTAGGTGAGCATTCTCGAGGTCACTTGCATCGCTCAAAGGTTGTTCATAAATTATAGTCACCTTTTTTCGTTAATCAATTGGCCGGAGGTATTTCATTAGACAACCTAAAGTCTCATTGAGTTCTGACTCTACAACTGGTTTGGCAAAACTCTGAAACGACCAAGGTAAGCATACTTACAATCTCCTCAAGAAACCGATCTTCATTAAGTTTCAGAAAATAACTATTAGTCAACTAACGGGACGTATAAGTTACCTCTTCTATGCAAGTCAATTAAAATTTTCCAACTGCATTGCTTATCTGATAACAAATTACTGGTCATTTCACATTTTCCCGTCCTAACAGTATGAAATAAGGTAGGATTATGTGGAAAGCAGAAGTCTCAAAGAGCATAACGTTCCTAGAAATAACTGATATTCTTACTACCTTCCATTTTTACAGGTAGGACTGAATTATTACACAAAATTTATAAAAAATCTTGATTGATGCTTAAATTCTTGTTACAGAGAATACAACTCATACATTTTTCGTCCCTCATTGGTTCCATAAATAACAGATAGTTTAAAATATAATATTAAGGAAGATTATATTGATCCTTATAAGCGATAAACGATAATGTAGTTAATTCAATGCATATAGTCCTTTTACAAAATTACTTCAAATGGTTGATCACTAAAATGAAATCCTGAATTACTGTAACAAATGAATTTAAACTTCAGTTTGATATTTTGAATTGCTAAAAATTGATTCAGCGATGAATATTACTCAGGAAGAAGGTTTTTGAGTTCCGATAATTAACCGGTTGATAAGAACACCGGTTATTAGCTTTGTATTAAGTTCCCTTGAGAACTTATTGGTTGCACTGGTTACTGAACTCGCGTAAAGGATCTTGAAGAAGTCCCATACTATAACAAAACGTCCGTCTAGTGCTTCCAGGTTTTCAATTATGATCTTACATTGATCGGTTCATGATCTCAATAAAAATAATAACTTCGTATTGTTTGTTTTTACTACTTCAAAATTGTCTAAATATTCAACTTGTTCATATGCATCGAAAAATTCATAACTATAACTTTCTCCATGTGGGAAGTTTAAATGTAGTATTGTAGTGAACAAGAACACGGGTGAGGACAGTCAAATGTATTTACGCACAAAATTACAGAATATCTCAATAAAATATGAGAACCATATAGTAATTAGTTAATTTGCAAACTATCAGTAAATTAACTCAATCTTGACCGTTCCTTCTGTAAATATCAATCCATAGTCTCCGATTATTATTGTTCCTGCAATAGCGCTTCGTTCCAGTTCTTTCCTTATCGATCATCTACTGAAATACATCCAATGCCCGATCATAGTAATATAGTACTTATGTGGATGTAAGTAACCCATACTACACTCGTTCCCCCTTTAAAGCATTTGTTCTTGCGGTGGTTCTGCTCACCATGCACACCTTCTTCTTTTATTGCAGTCTGTGTCAAGCTCTGCGTCAAAAGTTTGAGCCTGAGGCACGCTGACCTTCAAAACTCTGTCGACCTGCCAGAGCACTAACATCCACTTGGCACCCGAGACGTTCAACACCCGTGCTCCACCATCCTGCTGAGCCACCTAAATCCGATGTCTTCCAGGCAGCCACACGTTTCACTGCTCCTCTCCGTCGACAGCACCTTCTACAGCAAACCCCTCCCCGCCAGAACACCCCACTCAACGTCACCTCTCCGCACCTGACTGCCCTGACTAGCACCTAAACTTAAGGCCCGCGACGGCGTCTGCAGTACAGCACTCTTCCTCTTCCTGGTTGGCAGCGACACCAAATGTAGTGAACAAGAAGACGAGTGGAAACAATTAAACGTATTTGATCACAAAATTACAGACTATCTCACTAAAATCTGACAACCATACCGTAAGCAGTTAATTTGCAAAATAACAATCAATTGTCTCAATCTTAACTATCCCTTCCGTAAATATCAGTCCTTCTTCTCTGATTTCAATGTTTATGCATTTTCATACCAATCGCGTTCCGTTTCAGTTCTTTCCTTATCAATCTTCTAGTGAAATACATTCTATGCCTGTTGATCACTATGTACTATTTATGTAGTTATAAGTAACCCACACCACAGTATATCATACTGTTTGATGTTTATGAGCTATAATATTTTGTATGGAAGATGTTATAGATCTTTTTCAGTTTATAGTTTAACAAAATTTAAATTTATTATCAGAAGGAGGTTTCGTGGGGATTTTAGTAATTTTATATAGTTGAGATTGGTTGAGGTTAGACATTAACAGCGTTGGATGCCGGATCAGTGGTCTACCGGTTAAGTGCTCACGCGCGAGACTGGTAGTTCCTGGGTTCAAATCTCGCGAGTGCGGGATCGTGGATGCGCACTGATGAAGTGTCCCGCAATAGGACAAAACGGCCGTCCAGTGCTTTCAGGTTTTTCATGGTGGTCTAGCTTTAATTGACTCATGATCTCAACTATTTAAATTTATTTTTCATATCTAATGGTATGTTATGGTTTTTCATTACCCATTAAAAGATAAGTTTGGTTACATAACATAACTTTATTTCTAATAGATAAAATATAAACTGTTATCATCAGTTAAGGTATTCTGTTATTAGAGCTTAAATAAATCACATGAACATAATTTTTTTTTAAAACTGTATAAAACAACATTCATTTCATTTATTGCATCCAATTAAAATATTTTCTACAGATGGTTTAATCTTAATAATAAGACATATACACTCAATTATAATTATGTATCTTACAGCAGATGTAATGAAAATGGTTTGTGATTGTGTAATTTATCAGGCTTTGAAATAGTTTGAAGGAATTAGGGAAGATTACTCTTTTCTTTTCTTTGTTTATTTTTCCTTGTACGTTATTTTATTAGTTAATCATATGACAACAACTCTTACTTTAAGAGTGTTCCTATTTATTCAGTTAGTTATAACATTTATTCATATGTTGGTTATAAGTCTTCTAAATTTGTTAAGTTGTCAATAAAAGCATCTTTATTCAACAGTATGGCTTATTCGATGAACGTATATTAACAGATGATATTTACGGGGGTTGTTTGTGGAGATTTTAAGTCATTTTTATATATAGTTGAAATCACGAGCAAATTGAAGCTAGACCAACATGGAAAACCTGCAAGCACTGGACGGCTGCTTCGTGGATTTGCACTGCTGAAGAGTCTCACAATAGGACTAAATGACCGTCCGGTGCTTCCGGGCTTTCCATGGTGGTATAGCTTCAGTTGACTCATGATTTAAACTACAAATAAAAAATATTTATGTTATAGTTTATATAATTCGGTACTCCGTAAAAATCATCGTTCAAAGTATATAGGTTAAACGGAATCAACAAATTTGAGATGATATTCAAAGCTTTATAAATATCTCAGAAATCGAATTTCATTTCGCGCATTTTGAATTCAATCTAGTCAAATGTTTGAGGTTAATCTTTACCTAGAAAGCAAATTGTTTATGAATAGCACAACTGATGCATTTTGATAACATGAAAGCAATTTAGAGAATTTAAATCTCTTAGCAAATCATTATAATAAATAACAGTTATTATTGACTTATCAAAAGATGAACATTTCAGAGTTCAAAATGAAAAGGTTATTTTGTATAATAAATGACTAAAAGTGAAAAGATTGCAAAAAAGTAATCCACGTGCTTGCTAGTGACTAGTTTATGAATGAATTTCGGATATTTCTGTGATAAGCCATAACTGGTGGAATTCAGCTATGTCCTATATGAAGGAATTGTCCACATTAGTGTTTGATAATCGTTATACTGTATCACCGGTGGATTGAATTTTAAGATAAACTGTTGGGTTTCAACCGAATTATCTAAATGTTCAGAATTCACCATAAAAGCTTTTAGTCTTTAATCTGATTCCATGAAAATTCTAATGTATGTAATGTTTATGAGTCTCAAGTTGCCATATAAACAGATTTTTACAGGTCTTTAGTTTACAATGGTTTCACAATGGATGTTAGTCTATTAGAAAACCTCACTTCATAGTGCTACTTCTAATCAGCTTGAAAAGTAGAGAATATATATACACTTGTGAGAAATTTCATAACTCAATAAAACATGTACTCTACAAAATATCTTTTTAAATCTCTTCATTAACTTTAAAATGTTTCCCAAAATAGTTTAATTAACTTCTCCCTTTTCTTTATTTCGTTTAT